GCATAATTTAGTATTGCAAATAAGAGATTATGAGGATGTGGAGAAGAATTTGAAAGTGGTTATTTGGTTATGAAATAAACTTTTAAAAGTAAAACTACATGGGAGACAACTATATTGTGAATCTTTGAGATATGTGTCCATATAACTAAAAAAATAAGACTTTAAACTTATCTACGAGATTATTAGATTATTTATAAAGCAATTAGATACAGTCAAAACAGAATTCGAAGAAATTTACAATCAAATTTATCACCCAATAGCCTCTAAATATCAGATTATTTTAAAAGATAGTGTTTGTTAATAACCAAGATTTTATATTTATTAAAAATAGCAATCAAACCATCGTAATCTTATAACGATTAATGTGACCTTTATCATTCGATTTATCAATATAAAGTAACAATAGATACAAATGGTGAATATTTTTAATCGCTTTTTGATCAAAATTAATGTGTTTAAAATTTTTTGATTGCTTCAAATTCTAAATTTCTACAATTTAACATTAAATTAATAAAATAAATTTGCAGACAAAAATTTTGAGATCTAAATTTGGAATAAAATATTGTGTAGCCAAGGAAGATGCCTAATCTCAATAGCCATGCCTTATTCTTCTTTTACATATTTATCAATATATTATATTTATTTTATTAGTTAATTTTAAAAATTTTTGATTTGCTGATTTTTTTCATTGCAAAATTGTCGTTTTATTTCAAAATTCTAATTTTAACAAAGTTCAACCTAGCATCTAATAACAAATTTAAAGTCTTCATTCAAAAAAATTGGCCATTCCAATTCTCATATATAATATGGCACATAACTATCCAGACTCATACTCCGGATATTAATAATGCAGTGCAGGTGTTGAATATTCAGAGCTCGATCTTTGTTGGGGAGTATATTAGTGCATGTTATAGCTTCTGCACAGCCTAGCTAGAGCTACAATGATGTTAAATTTGTTTATTTTAATAAAATATATTCACGGAAGATTGAAGAATGACTTAAATCAGCTAGTAAGTTGTGATGATGTGAATTTACACTATTCATTAATAAAACAATCAGATCGAATAACAAATTTAGAGCATAGATGCTATTGTAGGTAATAAAAATTAAGCAAAGATAGTAAGAAATCTAAAATTCAATCAGTAAAAGATATTGAAAAAAGTTCTGGATACATACAAAAGATACACTTGTGGTAATGATGCAGTTTCTTGTGCAAAAACATACTTTTTATTGGGACATTCAGAAATGCCATGGGTTATTTTAGCAAGTCGAATTGGATTGATTGCTTTTATAGTAGCGTTGTAAAGCTAAATAAGATGACAAAAACAGAATTAGGCTTTGATATGATCATGTTGTTGGTAATTAATATATTTAAAGAAAAATAACATTTTAAAACAGAGATTCCAAATGATTCGAGCAATGGCTATTTATATTATAAATATGAGGAAATTTTTGTGGAATAAATAAAACAATGCCTAGACAATCTAGTAATCACTGGAAATCTTTTTTGGTAATAATGCCGAATATTTTATAATCTGTACACAAGACTTCATATTAGTGCTATGAAGATATGCCATGTGCATTCATGAATAAATCTATCAGGAAAAGTTCTTGGCAAGAAAATCCATTTTTGAAATTGATGGTTTGATGAATCAATATTTGAACACAGGAATAGTTCATTGCCTTAAAGAAAACAGTTTTAGATTTACATTGTCCAACTATGGAGTGGAAACTTCGTAAAAAAGACCAATATAGCATTGTGGCATTGAAATTTATCTTGAGGTGAGTAGACAGAGGCATGCTATATTTTCAAAAATGATACAAAGGAAGCTAATAATCTTGGTGATACTTCTATTTTAAAGCATCTTAAATGGAAAGGCATTTCCGATGTAGACAATGAGCTGGAAAACTCTCTTAGTTTCAAAACAGCTCTTAATTCCTTATGTGCTCTGTTAAGTGTAAAGTTTACCAATTAACTGACTGCCAAAATCAGAATAAGAAATAGTTAAAATAGATAAAGGAGGAACAGCTATATTTTTGAGACTGAAATTCAAAAAAGAATTAGCATAAGCACACCAATAAAAGTATCAAAAATGGAATGTTGTATAAATGCTATATAAGCATCTAAGAGATAAAAATCATGATATGTCGATGTTTAGTATTACACAGGTTATTTATGATAATTTAAAAATACCGATAAGATTCCTGCGATCAAATATCTTGATTGTAAATGATTTTAAATCGTTTTATTTTTTAGTACTGTACAATAAACTACATTGCTGTTAAACAATTATAAATTGATATCAGCAATTAGCTGCAAATTTTAAGATCACCAATAATTAATAAAGATTCATCTGTAAAAATGAATTTTAATATATTTCAAAAAAGTCAAATATAGATATTTTTAGCATCCATTATAGTACATTCCAATCTTCCAAGTCAATAAAGGATGTTAATCTATGTAAATTTTATATCTTTTAGCACAGTATTAAGCATTTGTAGCTATAACCGCAGACATATTACCATTCAAAACTTTTGGTTTTCTTATTATATGATTTCTTGGCCTTTTTATTCAATTTCTGCATGCATTTAGCCATTTCAACAGGACTTTTAATCATTTCAAGATTGTAGCTTAACCATCCTCTGGCAATAAACACACCATAATGATAAAATACATCATCTTCAAGCATGTCTAAAAGTCTTTCTCTGATCCCTTCATTAAATTTATTATCAAAAATATCATCATGACTATTATATTTTACAGTCATTTTGAACAAGGGAATTTTTTTAGATAAAGTAAATAGTAATTCAATTAACTTCCAATATAAATTTAATCAACCCAAACGGAGCGGCTTGTTTCACTTCAATACAATCAACACAAGTATTTTAAATAGATCACTTTGATCTTACCACAATGGAAGTTTCTTTTAAAGATTGTTGCTATATTTCTGATTCTAAAAATTTAGAAAATTTTTAAGCCAAGATGCGTGGAAGCAACGCTAAAAGTACAACAGAAAAGTCTAAAAGCAATTCTGTGGGTAGAGAAAAAAATAAGAGAGCATACAGATCAATTCTCATCAACCACATGCTTAAATTCAGAGGAGAGAGAGCGCCAACACTCAATCAAAAATTGAATGAAGAACTTCTTTTATCATACAATAAAATTAAACTCACAGACACTGAGATTAAAACCAGAAACAAGGTTTTTGAACTATTTAAAAAAGTAATTGAAGATGCTTTAGATTGTCAAGTAGAATCACATGGGAGTTTCAGAACAGGTACAATGGTCTATGGATCAGATATTGACATTACAGTTCTTATGAATAAAGAAACGATCAAAAAACCCAGGAGTCTATCCTATGATGCTTCGTACAAGCCATATTCCAATCAAATACTTGCTAAGATTGCAAATATAATAGAATCAAACAATATTATAACAGGAAATATTATTCATATAAAGAATGCCAGAGTGCCTGTACTTAAATGTGTGGATAAAATATTCAATTGCAAAGTTGATATTGTTATTGATAAATATGACAGTATAAAAAGTGCTAATTTTGTTATTAAACAGCTAGAAGAACGACCGTACTTAAAGTATTTAGCTACTCTTTTGAAATATTTTTTGAAGAGAAGGCATTTATCAGAGGCCATCCGAGGTGGGCTGTGCTCATATGCACAGTTTCTATTGATTTTAAATTTTGTCCAATTGCATCCATTGATCCAAAATGGAAATATTCGTGTTGAAGATAATCTTGGCACAATATTTATGGACTTTTTTCAACTTTACGGATTAGAATTTCCGTTCGAAAGGACTATTATTTCGGTGCTGGAAACAAGATACAAACCAAATCGAGATTCGCAGATTAATATTGAAGATCCATGTAATCAGGGGCATAATGTTGCAGCAGGATGCACAGCCTTACCTATGATTAGAGAAATTTTTTCATTCAGTTATAAAATCATGGCTGCAGCCTTTGCCGAGAAAGTGGCTACAAATAAGGCAATAGGAGAGCTGTGGCTGAGGATTGATGAACAGGAACTTGCATCTAGAAATAAACTCAACAAGGTAAAGAACGAAAATAAACCATGATATTACACTTAGCCTTTGTAGTTTGCCACTATTGATGATATTTGCTTCAAATGGTATGGTTTTTGTTTGTACTAATCAAATCACATTATGTGCATTGCCTAAAGTCAAATATGCATACTGGTTTAAAAACTATTTTTCACATTCGATTCTGACACATAATTTTCATTCTTTATGCGTCTAGTTTTAGATACATTTTATTTATTTTAAAGAAAAGCCCTTACTCTGATAATGCTGAATATGCTGGACATAGAAACATCCACCTCAGAGAATGAGATGGAATATTCAGCAAACGAGGGAAGCTTTTTACAAGAGTGCGAAAAGACAGAGCATCTTGTCAGAGACAAATCAAAGCAGGAATGGAAAGTGTATTTTGGATTTTAATTGTAGTATTTGAGCGTTTTCATTGTTATTTAAATGAATTAATATTTTTGATTCGTTTTCCTTCATGAATAGGCTTTATCACAAAGTATAATTTTATTTGTAATCATAAAAATCCTTTAAGCTGGCTTTATATTTGCTCATTCTTTAGCCCCAGATGCATTGCACACTATCTCCAGAAAACACAATTTTACTCGACAAACTGATAAAATCTACAAAAACAGAGATGATTAGCATAGAAGTCGACTCGATCTTTCAAATATATCTTATATCACCTGATTTATCACAACTAACAATAATAAAGCTTGAGCCTTCATTTTTTGAATCATTTGAAAATACCGTACTCATACAAGTCTCATTTCCAGTTAGGAAACTTTACAAACAGAATATAAAAGCATTGCAAATTACTTTAAATGATTACACAATTAACCTGGAATATATTTTTAACGCCATGAAACATACCCAAACTTTTGATTGCCTTGAGGCAGAGATATTTGACCTTGACTTTCAGTGTGAAAGAGAGATCGAGATTAAACTGCCAGGATTAAAGAGAATATTGAGGGAAATTAAAGACAAACAAATTAAAATAGAGATGAAAGATTCGTTTAAAATTTCAGGCCAACATGTTGAAATTTCAATACCCCAGACAAATTTAGACGTGGATTTCACCGTTGATACTGAAAAATTTAAATCAATTGTCAAAATTTCAGACCATTTTTACACAATAAAGTTTAATTTGCCAGCTGAAATCTCACCATTGAATATCACAATGGAAGCACCTGAAATATTTTTATCAACATTCATATCAATCGAGTAATGTAAAGTAGCATCATTTTAGATTTATAAGCACAGTGTAATGGCTTTACCCTGTTAATAAACTTCATTTATTATACTTGTCTAATGATTTTAATTTTCATCAATTAAATCCTTAAAATAATATCAACCACACAAAAACACATCTCAGTTTCAGTTAATCATTCTTGCTACAAACTATTCCAAAGAAGAGCCTTAAATAAGCTTATTTTCTATTTATTGCTAGCAATAATTTACTTCTTTTCACAATTAAGCTCAATAAATGAATCATACTTAAACGATTTTGGACATTTAATATATGCAATTTCATCATCTAATAACTTAATGCTACCTTCTTTAAATCCTTTATACTTTCTCTGTGTATCGGCTAGAATTTGTAGCAAGTCTTGTTTGTCATCCATCTGTTCAAGGGTAGGACTTAAGACAAAGTATCAACTAAAAATAAAATTCAAACTTGTCAAATCATTCAATACAGCCTTTTAATAATCAGGGGATATGTCTAAAATATATAACATATTTACATGCAGAGTTGCATTTTAAGCTTATAATGTAAGTGCATATTGTAAGCTTAAATATTCAAATATCATTTTGTCTTTGACTTTCCCTTCTTTTTGTAAATAAAAATACAAGATTCATTCAATCCTTAAATGGAAACAAGTGAGGGGTTTACATTCACAAGAAAAACATCAAACAAAGGCGCAAATTTAGCATTTACAAAAATAGAATCTTCTAAGATGCAGGAGAAGCACAATATGAATCATGATTTTGTATTTAATAGGCTGAGGCCAAACACTACAGTAAATCTGCACAGGACTAACACACAACCAAAAAGAACAAACAAAAAGAATTCTAAAGATTACCATGTAACAGGAACAGTGGAGCATAACGAGCAGAAAAACCCACAAATAACCATCACAAAGAAGAATACAATGAAGAAGACGGATAAGAAGAAGACAGCAAGTAAAAAGAGTGAAGCAAATCCAGAGGAAAGTACCATACAGTATAATGTTGTAAAAAAGAGAAAAACAATTAGATTGGACAAGAGCATAGACCTTTCATCAGGATCAATAATTGTGGAAACCCCAAAAGATTCCTGTCTCTCAGAAGAGACACTAAGAATTGATATACCTGTGATCAAAGAGAAGATAAAGTCACATGAAATCTATAAGAACGTTTCCACACATAATATTAATGAGCTGATTAAAGAATGCATAGCCTTTCTGAATGACAATTCACAGTATGCAAGAGAAGTAATAAAACATTGCGATGCCAACTATTTTTCTGATATTGACTATAGAAAAGAAATTGAAGCAACCAACAATAGGATTGAGCAGATCAGGAGTGAAATAGGAAAGTGGGAAGATGTATTTGAAAAAGCAAAAGCGTCAAATAACATTGATGTTAAAGTGTTGAATACGGCCACACCCGAAATTCAGTTTAACAAAGATGCAATTGCTATTGAGTTTGAGGAAAAGGCAAGCAGGCTAAGAATACTTGATGAGAAGTTAAGATACTTTTTTGAACATGCAAAAGAGAAAAGTGAGAATCTGCTAAAAAGCGTTTTCGGCTCACTTGAAGATAAAAATGTGGATGCATTATTTCTATTAAAAGCTATGAGCAGACTGGGCAGGTAAGATTGAATAAAGCGTATTATTTTTATCAACCATACTTTTGTTTGTATTTTTCTTTTGAATATCAATGGAAAAGAATTGAATTGCTCTTTTCTTTTAAAAATTTCCTTGTTTACTTGTATAACTTTTCTACCCCAAATGCCATCTTCAAGTGTGAGCGAAGTATCAAGAAAGGAAGAGACACCTCAGGCTAAGAAAGGATGCTGCAACTCAATAAAAAGGTTTCTTAAAAACATTAGAAAATTCATAAGGGAATCTGAAAAACCATCGCATGACCAGTTCAGGCATATTCTCAGGGGGCATTTAGTTGGAGTTATTGCTCTTGGGCTATTTGCTTATTGTATAAAAGTAATCCACATCCCAATCAACAATATGATTGCTGGATCTGAAAAGAAGTAATAAAAGGTAATTTTAACACTTTAATAAACTGTTATATTGTTATTTTAAAACGTCAAATTTTATGTTAGGTAGAAATGACATGTTTGAATTTGTAAGATTTATTCTTAAGCTTAAAAGGACATGTCTGAATTTTAATACACTTCAGCCTAGTTTGAGGATTTTCTTCTGAAAATTAGTGTTGTAGCCACAAATACCATTATAACAATTAAATTCCTTAGTTTAAACCTGCCAACAAATCCATCAACAACATCTGCAAAAAGCTCTGCAACGATTCTTGTATATTTGATACCTGAAAACCCACTTTTGATTATACATTCCCACTTCCCACACTGCGCTTCTAAGGCAGGAACACGTGTTGTAGGATCACATTTGTTTATCTTGTACATTCTCTTTGCCTCTTCTACTATTGCTCTTGCTTCTGCCTGCTTTATTCCTATTTTATATGAAATATCCATCTTTGCAAAGTATAAAATGTAACAGACACTGTACACCAATACAGAAATAAGGAATAAATTCATGATCACGTGCAAAGCCCCAATGATAAGTGCAGGGTTTAGAAAGTCACTCAAATATTGATAGAATGTTTTCCACTTGGACTCTCTACAGTTTTTATTTACTGAAAAACATAATTTCTTGGGTTCTACTTCATCTAAACTCAAATCCTCTCTTTTTATAGTCTGTGGAACATTGAAAATTGAGGGTGCTGGAAGACACAAAATAGCGTCTCTGTTCTTTTGCAGATATTCGCATGTTCTTTTTCCTTTTCTTGGTCTTGCAGCCCAGCTGATAGTAGTTTCAACATCCATTGACTTTGGGAACATGGGTTGAGTAAATAAAGACTGGATAAATAGAAAGAAGCAGCTAATGTTCTAAGCTGCAACTACTGCACAATATTTATTGCTATACTTGTTTTGTGTTTATCAACTATTAGGATAGTCAGATAAATTAACTATCTAACTAATACAGCAAAGCTTGGTTATTTGCTACCAAATTATTAAAAATTTAAAATAAGCATAAATAAACATATCAACAACCGCTTGATCTTCTCTTACATAGAATTTCCATAAAAAGATCTAACAGCAAACCTTTAAGTGCAATAACTTGACATCTTTGACATTCCCAACGCCTGACAACCTTTCAGTAGATGCGAATACTTTCTGATTTTTGTCTGTAAATGTTGAATCTTAATAGTCTTAAATGCATAATATAAATGTAACTTTAGCATTTGTCAATTTTCACGGGGAGATTAAAATCAAACACGAAGCTTCGCTGTGTAAAATAGGACATAAAAGAATATAACAGTGTTAACAGACATGTTCAAGCATAAACTACTCCCTTACCTTGGAAATAAATTTAATTTAGAAGAAAGGAACATAAGGCTTTTCAGAAACCTGAATAGGCGTATTATTCTTCAGAGAAAGAGTAAACGCAGGCCTTGGGCCTTTTGGCAGAATTTTCTCAGGTCTAACCTTCATTCCCGACTTTGATGCCTCTTTGACTTGCTCAGCATATTTCTTCTGCCTGTTCTTCATATCTTCCATAGATCTACTAAGTGTAAGGTGCTCTGGTCTAATATGCATAACTCTTTCAATGTATTTTCCACCCACCCTCCTGTAGAAGATTACGCCATATGAACGTGGATTAACATTATAGATAATGCCAGTCTTTCCATGATAGTACTTGTGTGGCATTCCCCTTCAGAACACTAGAGTCGATCTTGCAATCAACAAAATCACCAACTTTAAACTTCTGAAGAATCTTGGAAAGACCTGGCATGCCCCTCTTTCCAAAATCCTTCCTCAAGAGCTTCCTTGTTCCTCTTCTAAAACCATTGCTTCTCATGCGTGGGTAGCTTAAAGTGAAAAATTTTACATTAAAAATTTGAAGAAAGGGAGGTGTATTTAATTAGCTAACGTAGAATTTGAGTTACATGACAGTATTTAAAACCAAACTTATTTAAGAAATAAGCAAGCAAATAGCTTAAAAACAGTATGAAAATGTGAAGCTTTACCTGCTCTGATCTCTCATAAAATTTTTTCTGCAAATTTTTTACTCCCTCAAATGGGAAGTGTGCGTAGAGACAGAAGGGTTGCAACATATCCTCGTAATCCCTGGGAGAAGGATAATCTAGTAAAGGAGCTTCAACTCATGGGAATTCATGGTTTGAAGAACAAGAGAGAACTCTGGACTGTTCTTACATTTGCCAGATCTGATAAGAAGAAGGCAAGAACGCTTCTTATTACAACAGATGAAAAAGAGTTTATGATTCATGGACGTGCTTTGCTTAACAAGCTTATTAAGTATGGGCTGATTTCAAGTGTTGATTTCAATGATGCCGAAGATATCAGAAGAGGATTGAAAGAGGTTTTGAATTTTGACTTAAACCATTATCTTGAGAGAAGACTGCAATACCAAGTGTTTAAGGCTGGAATTGCCAGGAACGTTCACCATGCTAGATGTATGATTTACAAGGGCCAGATCTGTGTTAAGGGAAGAGTAGTTAAAACACCATCTTTCATTGTTAAGAACGAGGATCAAGGATTAATTGAGAAGAACCCAATCTTAGCGAATCGAAAGAAGGCCAAGGCCAGCGACGATGAGCCTCAAGAAGAATAAATAAAATTTCCCAAGGAGTTGCTGTGTGGTTTATTAGAAAATGCCATGAGTAGGAATAATACGAGTGGACTTTTATTGTTATTTGCTTGGTTGTAGTTTTACTTTGCTACTTCGTCATGCATGATTTTACTCAGAACAAGTTTGATAAATTCGTTCTTTTTCTCAATTTTTGCGATTATCTCTTCAAAATGATTGAGTATTAAAGCTTCGTTGAAGAATAGCATTAAAGCAAAGACTCGCACATCTGCTGCTTTATCTTTAAGAACAGAGAATAACACAGAGTTTTTTAGGTACTTTAGCTTTGTAAACTTGGATTTTAGAGCAATGCTGATAAGGCTTTCATCATTTAAAACACTTTTGAGCGTCGGTAAAATATGAGTGAAAAATCTATTAGAACTACCACCTTTGACAGAATCAACGTCACCAAAGGTAATAATTAATGGATCAATCGAGGAAATTCCAAAGGCATCTTTTACATTGAAGGCATGAATGGGTTGCTTTTCCTTGTTTTCAGTAAGTGAATTGGATGAGCATTGCGTAATATTAGAAATATTACTTAAAGACTCGTTCTCTGCATAAACATCATCATTATTCGGTTGTGTGTAAGAAAAATCATCTGATATGTTGACATTTCCAAAATTATTAAGCTTATCAATATCACCAATGCTTTTTGAGATATCAGTACCTGTCATTATTTCAACAATTTGATAAGGCTCCCAAACACTCTCTTGAAATTCATTTAGCATTCCAAAAACTGAGCAATAGTCAATTTTTATAAATTCTAACAGCAAATCAATCATTATTTTTGAGTCAATCAGACTGTTTTTGACTAAATTGGTTGCTTCCACAATTACCTTTTGTCTGATTACAACGGACTTAATTCTTTTATAAATCATGAAAAGAAAGGACGTGGCTGAAAACTCCGATTCTGATTGGGGATTTGGAAACGTGTCAGACGAGACTGGAGTGTCCATTTTTATACACTCTTTTTCTGTTGCTTTGTATTCAAATGGTTTTATGTTGTAAATTAAAGAATTACGTGCCAAGTCGTCATCTTTGGACTTGCTGTTTTTACAAGCTTTACTTGTGCCTTCAAGCTTAATTTCAATACTTTCAAGAAGGTCGAAGCTAGTCTTATCAGCATAGTACACTAGAAAATCCAAAAGGTCTATTCCACTTTCATCAGCATTTTTAATAAGGGAGTTAATTCTGTTAATCAGTATAAAGTCCAATCCAATATCCCTAAACAATTTCAGATAGTCCACTGATTCACAAAGTATAACCACAGACTCCTTCATTAAAACGAAGTTTTCAATAACCCAAGCTCCAAACTCATAGTTAAAAATTTTCAAAGCCACGCACTTCTCTGCATAAAGCTTGGCAAGGTTATAAAAATTGCCGTATTTCCAAACAGACCTGAAAAAATCAGATTGAAGGTATTCTTCAGTACACAATGGAATGAGGGAACAGTAAAATGGTTCTAAATCAACCTGCTGATGGAGTTGTAGAACTAGCTTGTCAATTTCATTAGTCAAATAGTGATTTAAACACTTTGAAAACCCTTGATTGTATTCATTCAGCATACACTGGGCCATAAGAGTGAGATTTTTATTAACATTCTTCATCTGTCTTAGCTCACTGTACGAGTTGAGAAATGCTGAGAATATTTGTGTTTGTTTTGAAGTAAAGGTTTGGAGTAAATCGATGATTGGCATTGCACTTGAATGGGCGAACAGAAATAAAAGACAAAGAAGATTATTTACAATGCTATGCATTGTATTTGACGTCTATTGAAAACTAGAATGGGTGTTTGACAGGTATTCACGAGCACTGAGTAAACGTATCTGACTGGATTTTGAATAGAACCTGAGAATTTAATAACAAACACCGGCTGACAACTCGATTTAAGCATAAACACTTAGTTTCATGCCACCTATTTTAACAGCAGAGCATTGCATATAAAACTGATTTATTGATTAAGGAAGATGCATAAATTTATCATACTAGAGAATGTAAGCTCTATCAATAGTAAATTAATGTGAAATACATTTTATATTCCTTCTGACTAATGCCTACCTCACGCTTACATCCTTGCAGATGTCAATATTGTATATTTGTTACGTTAGTAGCATTGATGCAAGCCACACACAATGCAAGCATACCGTTTGATGACTTAAATTCAGTGATTTACTTTGATTGCTTTATTTACCCTCATGAAATTCTTAGAAATTGGCAGTATAATCAAAACAAACGCCTTGCTCTCAAGGCTTCAGGCCTTTGATCCAAGAAGAAGTTTAGAAATTGAAGCATACTCGTGTAAACAAACTAGGGAACAAAAGAAGCACAAGACCATTCCAAAGCCACTTAGATTCTACGTTTCTGCACTGGAGCTTGCCTTTCCCTATTACGATTTTTCAACGATGACTAAGGAGTCATTTAGGAACATATCACATGGCATGCTGAAGAATGAGCTCTCTTTTGTATTTTTTACCATGTATAAGAACCACGAGGATGTAGAAGAGTTTGTTTCCTACTTAGATGCACTACTTGAGCAGTGTGTTGATGTGAAAAGAGCGCAGTTCTTCATTGTGGAAGATAACATGCTGGATGATCTTGATTTTCACAGAATATTCATGGTGTATGACAAAAGAAAGAGGAGGGTGCTAATAATCAAGTCTATTCTTGAAAAGGAGGCAGAAGTAGCACAGTAAGCATATCAAATAATATATGTAAATAAAATGCACTTGTAATTGTTTATTTTCTACCAAGCACGGGGGTCCATCTAAACTATAGCCTTCAACATGCCACTGCCCTACTTTGTCTCTCTTTGGATTCTTATGGCTGTCAAAATGTTTTGGGGGCTAATACGAGTGCTAGGCTTTAAAGACAAAAAGACCATTCTTTTAATCATGCATTGGCTTGCTTTTTGTACCGATGCCTTCAATTCATTGTACGATTTAGTATTTCACTCATTGTTGTACTTTATAAGTCGTAGAAGCTTTTCCTGATTTCCTCAAACTCCATTCTCAAAGACTTTATTTCCGTGTCATTGTATTTGTTTATAACCTTATTCTCTATTTTATTGATAATCCTCTCCATAATATCCGAGACTTCCTTCTTTTTATAGCTGCTCTGCATGACTTTTCCCAGTATCTTTGTCAGTTCTATGTTTAAGTTTTCTTCTCCCATGCCAGGACTATTTTTTGTTGGCTAGGAATTTA